AGAGTTCGCACTGCGCGAGTGTTCGTACCACGCGGCCGGTCTCGCGGGTCAAGGGGCTGTATTCATGTACATAGCTGGGCGCGTACGTCCTTTGTGGGCTCCCTAACACTGGTCCCCCTGCTCCTCCTCCTCCTCCTCCTCCTCCTCCTCCTCCTTTTCCCTCTCCCCATCCATTCCGTCTCCTCGTCCTCAGTTTCCTCCTCCTTCTCTCCCCTCCCTGTCCTTCCCGCCTCCTTGTCCTCCTCCTGCCACCTGGACCTCCTAGGTGGAGAGGGCGCAGCATGAGATGGAGGAGGCCAAGAACTCCGCCATCCGTGCGCTGCACGCTGAGGAGTACAACGCCACTCAGGCGTCATCATCGTCGTCGTCATCGTCCTCCTCCGCCTCCTCCTCCGCCTCCTCCTCCTCGCCGCCTCCTACCACTCCTGACGCCCCCCCCCCTCCCTTCCCCCGCCCGCCCTGCACGTGCGCCTAGCAGCGGGGCAGGGTGGCTCACACCCCTCGGCCGTGCGAGGGGTGTTCCGGAATAGTGGGGTGTTCCGGCACAGAGCGACGCCGCGATGCGAGCCGTGGCATGTGGGCTTTAGTTTGAGACCCCTATGGGGCCACGAAGCTTGTGAGCGTTGTGACGCGGAGAGGTGTCTATCCAAAACGAGGGCCCAACATTGCAGGATGGTTGGGAAGAGCAAGAGACACGACGGGAGGTTGGGCCCTCGCCAGGCCCCAGGATCATCAAACAACGATTCGCGATGAAAAAGGGGCCCCAGGGAAAGGGTCGCGACTTCCCATGGGGCCCGTGTCAGAATAAGATTACGCTACCGAAGAAACCCACATATTTCCCAATATTCGAAAGAGCGTGTTCTACCGCTGCTGGCGGAAAACCGGGGGGGGTCACTACCGGTTCGAACCCCTCCCCCCCCCCGCTCCGGAAAACCAGGGGGGGTCTTACCGGTTCGAAGCCTTCCCCCCCCCCAGTCCATCATGAAAAGGGGGGTGGTCACTACCGGTTCGAACCCTCCCCCCCCCCTCGAAAACCGGGGGGGTTCACTACCAGTTCGAAACCCCCCCCTCCCTCGAAAACCGCGGGGGGTGCGGACAGTGGTGGGGACGGTGGTGGTGGGGACAGTGGTGAGGGGACAGCGGGACAGTGGTGGGGACAGTGGGACAGTGGTGGGGACGGTAGTGGTGGGGACAGTGGTGAGGACAATGGTGGGAACAGTGGGGACAGTGGGGACAGTGGGACAGTGGTGGGGACGGTGGTGGTGGGGACAGTGGTGTGGGGGCAGTGGGAATGTGGTGGAAACAGTGGGACAGTGGAGGGTACAGCGGTGGTGGGGACAGTGGTGAAGGCGGTGGCGAGGACGGCGGTGGGACAATGGGACAGAGGTACAGTGGGGACAGCAGTGGGGACAGTGGGGACAGTGGTGGGAGTGGGACAGCTCAGTGGGACAGCGGAGGAGTCAATGGGACAGAGGGGACAGTGGGGATAGTCGGGCAGTGGTTGGGGCCGTTGAGAAAGTGGGGAGAGTGGAACCGTGGTGGGAACAGTGGTGGGGACAGTGGGGACAGAGCGACAGTGGTGGGGGCACTGGTGGGGACAGCCTGCGGTGGATGTGGGCCCGTGGGAAGGGGGGGATGGGGGGGGAATCCGCCGACCACCGCATGCCCAGCGTGGCGAGACTACAGCATCGCCTACCGAACGCCCTTGACGTCTCTACTCCGCTGGGGGTCGGCGGAATGGCGCAAGCAGATCCACCGCCGGCCGAGATTGCCGAGGATCGATCCCCCAGGCTGAGGTTGATTATGGATAGATCCCCGCTTCACAAAGTTGCCCATCAGACTAAGCGCATTCCTCGCCTGCTTCGTGTGCACAAGGAGCCTGGTGCTTTCCGACAGAATGACGCTGATGGGGTCGTTCTTCCCTCCTGCTCCGCCCCCCATCATCCTAGCCCGACACCAGGGTCGCATGTCCCCCTCACTCTCAGAGAGAACAGCGCGGAAGGTCTTCGGAAAAAGCCCAACTGTCAGCGATCGAGCCGCGAGGGCGCCCCAATGCAGGCGCGTCCTGATGGGCCAGGGCCTCGACGCTACAGCTTCGTCAATCCGCGGCGCCTGCCCCGCCTTTTCTTCGCACCCCTCTTGGCGTGTGTCTCGCTGTAGGGTAATGAGGCAGCCACAGGGCGCTCGCCCCAACGTGGTCGAGCCGTGGTGATGTGGTGCACGTGGCCCCAGGTAGTAATAGTAGTCGTAGTCGTAGTCGTAGTCGTAGTCGTAGTCGTAGTCGTAGTCGTAGTCGTAGTAGTAGTAGTAGTAGTAGTAGTAGTAGTAGTAGTAGTAGTAGTAGTAGTAGTAGTAGTAGTCAGTAGTAGTAGTAGTAGTAGTAGTAGTCGTAGTAGTAGTAGTCGTAGTAGTCGTAGTAGTCGTAGTAGTCGTAGTAGTAGTAGTAGTAGTAGTAGTAGTCGTAGTCGTAGTCGTAGTCGTAGTCGTAGTCGTATAGTCG